TTGAAAACAACATGTTTCAACCCTCTCCAATATCCTGGATAAATTCTGAACCTTTCCTTCTTCCAGACTTAAAACAGGAAAGCAAATAAAAATGCCATTCTTAAAGAGCCAGACTTATTCCCATTCACCAATGGGCTTCCATAGAACTGCTCTCCACTTTAAGAGTCTGGCATTCTAAACCTTGTGATTCCTACCTTTTTGAATTATATGAGAAGCTTCTGATTGATATACAACATAACTCCAATTATCAAGGTCTTTGCTCTTTTGTGGTTGTACTGTGCTTGAGGCTTAGGCAGTTTCTTGGAATTAGAACCCTCATTCATTAACTCAAAATTTTTACTAAGTATTTTCTCTCCTCAGTTCCTCTGAATTCCATGTTCTGCCAGCTAACTCTTTGCTTTGCTCTCTGTGTTCTCTTAGTAATAATCTTTTTGCCCTTCCTCTGGTATCATTGTTATTACCCTAACTCCAAACTGATCATCAGGATCCCAACAATAACTCTACTTTTCACCTAACTTAGAGGTAGTAACCTATCTGTATCCCTGATTAAGTACCAATGTGTAACCATTTCATAACTTGTTCATGCAGCTTAATGGTCACTATCTGAATCTCAATTAGTTATTCTGTACTCCAAATCTTCTTTTTCTGAGTCTCAGTATGATACCCAAGGGAGAGTCTTTCAACAAACCATTTAGTATAAAATTCTCCAGTATAAAAATATTAAATGAATTATCTCAAATCATAAAAATTATAGCATAAAAGAAGTGGAAGTAACAATAAAAAACCTATAGTCTAATCCATTCCTTTCAAAAAAAAGAAAACTAAGATGACTGCGGTTACATTATTTAAGTTTAGAATGAGATTTTTTTCATTATATTGACCAGTAATAGAAGAATGCAAGAGTTTACTAGTTTAAACAAATAAATTATTTACACAGCTTTATTAGTTGATGATTTTGCGTATTTGAATAACTAAAAATAATATTTCTAGTCTAAAATCACTCCCTTACAGAGCTTAGAATTAGAAGTTGAACCATGTCTAAAAAA